CCCCCACACGACCGCCAGGATTCGAACCGCTTCTTCTCTCCGCATGGACTTGAAGGTTTGCTTCTCCCCCCTCCCCTCACTGGGCCGCCATAGGACATATTTAGGGCTGCTATGTCAGGGAAGGGTATGGTATGGTAGGGAAGGGTAGGGTAGGGTAGGGTAGGGCAGGGTAGGGTAGGGTAGGGTAGGGTAGGGTAGGGTAGGGAAGGGAAGGGTAGGGTAGGGTAGGGTAGGTTAGGGCTCAGGTAGGGATAGGTTGGTTGCTACAGCTAGTACAAAATGGACGCGCGCGTAAAACCGGATTTAAAGACGCGCAGAGCCGCGTCCAGTCTCGTGTCTCGTATGAAAACACTTCTGAGAGCAAGTTTGACATCAAATCGGACCAGATCCGGTTTGATCAGTTTGCTCTTGGTCTAGCGGTTATGATGGAAGCGTCCCAAGCTTTTGAACGGCGCCCCCCCGAGTGATTGAAGACACCCAATGCATGGGTGTCAATGCATGTGTGTCCTGAATCAAATTTACCTAGGGCCCTAATTAACCTTCGTCCAACTCCTATGAAAAAATAGGGACCCTTTTAAATTAAACATGTCCCCGGATTGAAGCTCTTGACCCGCGCCCCCCCCGACCAATTCAAGACACCCCTGCATTGAAAGCAGGGCTCTCACAGTGGAAATGAGGTCGCTGGCGACGAAAAATTGCTTGTTGACTGTTTCTTGTCAGAGCCACCTCCTAGCTCTGCCTCGCTCGGGTCGACTGACAGACTATTCTCAAGTTGACATGCTGCGCTTTCGGTGAAGATCCGTCAACGTTACAGCGGAAATGAGCCCGGGCTCACCTTCATCGGCGAGCCCAAACAGACTGAGACAGAGCTGGACCTCCGAGAAGCCAGACCAGGCGAGGTGGTCTTCATCTGAGGCTTGTTGGCAGGGTTCCTTAACCCTAAATCCTAGACCCTAAACCTTAAACCCTAAACCCTAAACCCTAAACCCTAAACCGCCAACCCTATCTCCCAACTCCTAATCCCTAAACCCCAAACCCTAAACCCTAACTCCTGAACCCTAAACCCTAGACCCTAAACCTTAACCCTAACCCCTGTACCCTAAACCCTAAACCCTAAACCCTAAACCCCAAGCCCCAAACCCTAAACCCTGAACCCTAAACCCCAAACCCTCAAATCTAAACCCTAAACCCTAAACTCTAAATCCTCAACCCTCAACCCTCAACCCTTGACCCTAAACCAGGTGCGTCTCACAGGCCCAGACTGGCTCTCAAAGCTCCAGGGATCTCTTTCGAAAGACGGCCCATCCTACACTCAAGACGGCGCATCCCACACGCGAGGCGCGGAGGCAAGCCTGCCGGTTGGGGAACATGGCGGTGTGCACGCTGCGACCCCCCACGTTGCCGCGGTTCCTGGGGGAAGCGAGGGGGGGATGGGGGCGAGTCAGGGGGGCGTTGGTGGAGGTGGCGGGGGGGGGGGGGGGGGGGGGGCGGGGGGGGGGGTT